GCACACATACACACACACACACGCATATATATACACAACATACGCAAACACACACACACACACAAACACACACACACACATACACACAATATATATATATATATATATATATATATATATAATATATATATATATATATATATATATATATATATGTACATATATGTGTGTGTATGCGTGTCATAGTGGTATGCGCTAGCTGTTCTTATTTGTTTGTTTGTTTTTATTTCAAGCATAACTTGCGCCGGTGTATATAAGCCTCTGCGTCAAGAGCAAAGACGTTGTGTCCGTTAGACGCGCCTCGGAGCGAGGGGGCGGAAACACACGGTCGCACTCCTCAACAGACGAAACGAAATTCCAAGAAAACGAAGACAGTTAAACACACTTCCCTGGCCGCCGCTCCATTCCGCTTCCCGCAGCGAGAAACAGCGGCTCGTGAACCGCAAATGACTCGAAGGTCTGGCTCTGTTTCCAAGTGCCTGCCTTCGCTAGCGTGGGCGGGACACGCGCAGCTAATCGGGCGCTCGCGAACATTTACGCAAAAACGAAATGCGCTTTAAGTACATAGGATTGCAGGCATTGACGGACCGTTGACGAATTAAGCCATCATTCTGTTTGGCGTAATCTGTTCTGAATGAAAGGATGGGCTAAATCTGCATCCTAATCAGCTCATGTCTACCTTGAAATATGTCATGTCAAGGCTTTGGGAATATCCTTCAGAGTGTTAATACAAATGATATCCAGCATTTGATATACGAGACTGTATAAGTCGACAGTGTCATACATCTTATATTTTTTTAATCACTGTCAGTAGCTTTGGAATACGACACGAGAGAGTGTGGAAGGTAATGTAAAAAGGCACACACACACACACACACACACACACACACACAACACACACACACACGAGAGAGAGAGATAGAGAGAGAGAGAGAGAGAGAGAGAGAGAGAGAGAGAGAGAGAGAGAGAGACAGGAAGGAGTCAAGAGAGAAAGAAAAGAGAGAAGAGAGAGAGGACAGAGAGAGAGAAAGAGAGAGAGAGAGAGAGAGAATTAAAACAGTTGCAGGTGACGTAGGCAACGGCAGGTAGGACACACTTGCTGATACCCGCCTTCCTTTTTATCAATCAACAACCCGTGAAAGTATATCCGGCAAAAATATTCTTGGAAACGGCATTTTTCTTGTAGTTCTCTTTTCATCTATGCGAAAATATTTCCTCGCCCAACAATTTTGCGTTCCTGTGCTATTACATAATCAAAATACCATCTGTTCTTTAACTTACATATCCGCGATTCAATTTGTATTCATTATAAAAGTGATTAACTTTAACTCTCTCGAGGGCGATATCATTTTTCATTTTCAGGAAAGAAAAAAAAAGTTATAAAACATAAGCGTAATTAAAACATTTTGATATTTATTATTATTACTTTAACTTTACGAAGGGAGGAGAGTCTGTGTGGACGGGATTTGTGGCGTGTGTTCATGTGTATTGTTTATCGAGATGTATGTACATTTACGTTATCCGAACAGAGGCGCTGTGTAATTCCCGAGCAGAATTTACAAAGAGCCTCTGGCGCTAACCTGCCGACAAGACCTTATAATTACGTAGAGTTGTTACTCAGCGCTCCATCAACTTGCAAGGAGACGGAAACGATGCTGTGTTAGGGAGGACCTTGCGCTTGATTGGACCTTGGATCCTCGAGGTGGGAGCTCCGAGGGAACGGGCGCGTGTGCACCTCGCCTCCTTCGCACTTCTCTCTCTCTCTCTCGCTTTCTGTCTCTCTCTATCTCTCTCTCGTTTCTGTCTCTCTCTTTCTCTCTTTCTCTCCTCTCTCTCTCTCTCTCTCTCTCTCTCTCTCTCTCTCTCTCTCTCTCTCTCTCTCTCTCTTCTCTCTCTCTCTCTCTCCTCTCTCTCTCTCTCTCTCTCTCTCCTCTCTCTCTCTCTCTCTCTCTCTCTCTCTCTCTCTCTCTCTCTCTCTCTCTCTCTCTCTCTCTCTCTCTCTCTCTCTCTCTCTCTCTCTCTCTCTCTCTCTCTCTCTCCCTCTCTCTCTCTCTCTCTCTCTCTCTCTCTCTCTCTCTCTCTCTCTCTCTCTCTCTCTCTCTCTCTCTTCTCTCTCTCTCTCTCTCTCTCTCTCTCTCTCTCTCTCTCTTCTCTCTCTCTCTCTCTCTCTCTCGTCTCTCTCTCTCTCCTCTCACTCTCTCTCTCTCCTCTCTCCCTCTCCCTCTCTCTCTCTCTCTCTCTCTCTCTCTCTCTCTCTCTCTCTCTCTCTCTCTCTCTCTCTCTCTCTCTCTCTCTCTCTCTCTCTCTCTCTCTCTCTCTCTCTTTCTCTCTCTCTTTTTTCCTATCTCATTTCTCTCTCTCTCTCTCTCTCTCCCTCTTCCCCCACCCTCTCTTTTCTCTTTCTCTCTCTCTCTCCTTCTTTCTCTCCTAGTCCCCTCTCCCCATTACCTACACACAAAATATGTATACCGCAAACTAATTTTCCCCTTTTCTCCCCCAGGTCGAGCGCATCCCTGGAGGAAGCCTGTGCAAGACATTCGTTATCAGACCCGTTATGGTAAGTACCACTCGTCATTGCCAGTCCCTAACCAGTCATTGAATGCTCTATTATATTGTTGTTATTTTGGACACGGAGTGCTCGTTGTATATGATCTCTGCTTGATGAATATTGATATTCATTCATCACTCGCACCGTCAGTGTCCATTCCTCGTCATAAATGCTCGACTATACTGCTATGGGTTTATAATCGTCTGCTGGAGGGAGTCTGGATCACACAGTGCGGGAAGACCATTCGAATCTCTCGGACGGGTGAATTGCTCATAAGTCTCAAATCAGACATCAATTATTTTGTAAAAGAGATCTTATTGAATTCACAAGCTATTAAGTCTGATCATTTTTATTATTACTATCATGATTATCATCCTCTTGATCATCATTATTACCGTTACTATAACATTATTATTATTATTATATCATTATGTCATTATTGTTATTATCATTATCGTCATTGTTGCTATTATTATCATTATCATTATCATCATTTAAATTGTCATTATGATCATCATCATCATCTTCATTGTTAATATAATAATTATTGTCTTTATCATTATTATTATCTTCATTTTCATTATCATTATTTTAATTATTATTATTGGTATTATTACTATTATTATCATCATTATTGTTAGTATTATCATCATTATTATTATTATCATTATTATTGTTATCAATATTACTATTATTAGTATGATTATCATCATTATCATTATTGTTTTTATTATCATTATTGTTACCATTATTATCATTATCATTATCATTATTTCATCATCATCACCATCATCATTTTTATCATCATTGTCATGTCCATGGTTATTATTATTATTTGTTATTATCATTGTTATTGGTATGATTGTTATTAAGATATCATTATAATTACTATTGTTATTATGATTATTGCTATATTTATTATTATTATTATTATCATTATTATCATTCGTAGTAGTAGTAGTAGTAGCAGTAGTATCATTATTAATATCATCATCATTATCATCATCATCAACATTATCATCAGTATCAACATAAGCATCAATATCATTGTTATTATCATCATAATTTTCATTATTATTACCATCATTAACATTATTATTTTTATCATTATCACTATCATTACTGATTACATCATCATCAAAATCATTGTTATTATCATTATCATTATTATCATCATTACTGTTCTTGCTCTTATCATCATTATTGTTATTATTACTATTATCATCATAAGCATTATTATTATTACTACTTTCATCATTATCATTATCATTATCATTATAATCATTATATCATCATGTTATCATCATTATTATCATCATCGTTATTATTTTCATCACCATTATTCTTCCTATTATTGTTATCACTATTATTACTCATTATTATCATCATTACTATTATCATTATTATTAGCATTATTACAGCTGTTATTATTGTTATCATTATTACTATCATCATCAATTATGTACTGTTATTGTTATTATTATTTATCATTATCATTATCATCATTATCATTATTATTATTATCATATCATTATCATTTTATCATTATCATTACTATCATCATTATCACTATTGTTACATTACTATTCATTATCATGATAACAATTATTATCATTATTATATAACAGTATTATCATTATTAATATAATCAGTATTATCATTATCACCATTATCATTATCATCATTGTTATCATTATATCATCATTATTTTTTATCATTATTTATCATTACTACTATCATTATAATTATCATTACTACTTTTGTTGTCATTACCATTATCATTATTATTATCATTTTCATTTCTATTGATATCATTATTATCATTATTTTCTTTATTTCTGTTATTATTATTATCAGCATTATTGTTATTATTATTATTATCATTATTATTTCATGTTATTATCATTAACATTTTTGTTATTACTAATATCATTATTATTATCATTATTATTATCATTATTATCATTATTGTTATTATTATCATCATTATTACCATTACTATCATTATTATTATTAGCATCATCATTGTTATCATTATCCTTATTGCTATTATCTATATCATTATTTCTATTATTTTCATTGTCATTATTATTGTTATTATTGGTAGTAGTAGTAGTAGTAGTATATTATTATCATATTAGTAATTAGTATTATCATTATTCTTATCTTATTATTATTATCATTATTATCATTATTTCATCATGATTATCACGACTATTTTCATTATCGTTGTCATTGTTATCATTAGTATTCATCATTATTATAGTCATTATTACTAATGTTATCATTATTATCATCATCATTATCATTATCATCATTATTATTATCAGCATCATAATTATCATCATTATTATTACTCGCATAATCATCATTATTGTCATCATCATTCTTATTTTTTTTACTATCATTATCATTATTATTATTAGCATCATCATTATCATCATTATTATTACTCGCATAATCACCATTATTGTCATCATCATTCTTATTTTTTACTATCATTATCATTATGATTAGTAGTAATAGTAAAATCATTATCATTATTATCATCATTAGTATTATAGGCATTGTTTTTATCTTTACTGTTATCATTATCATTGTTATCATTATTATTATTATTATTATCATTATTATCATTATTATTATATTATTATTATATATTATTATTTTTATTATTATTATATTATTTTTTTCATCATCATTATCATTATTGTCATTTTGATTAATTATATCATCATTGTTATAATATTTATTATCAATATAGTGATAATAATAACAATGACAGTAAAAATTAATTATTATAATATAATAATATATTATTATTATTATTATTATTATTCTTATCATGATCATCATTATTATTACTATTATTACTATTATCATCATTTATATCATTATATTAATTTACTATTTTAATGATAATAATAATAATTCATTATTATTATCATTATTATTATTATGATTACTATTATTATCATTATTATTATTATTATGATTACTATCATTATTATTATATATTATTATTTTTATTATTATTATTATTGTGTATTTTATTACATTATTATTATCAATGATAATGACAATGATATTGTAGCTGTTATTATTATCATTATTAGTTGTAGTAGTAGTAGTAGTATCATTATCATCATAATCATCATCATCATTACTGCCATTATCATCCTCATTATCATTATCATTAATACTATTATTATTGCATTATATCTTTTATTTTTATTAGTAGCTAGTATCATTTTTATTATCATTGTATTATGATTATTATCATCATCATTGTTATTATCATTACTATTGTTTGTTATATATTCTATCATTTTCATTGTTATCATTATCATCACTTTTGTTATTATCACTATTGTGTTATCAGTGTTATTATCATCATTATTATTATCATTATCATTGTTATCATTATTACTCTCATCATCATCACCATTTTTATCACTATTTCTATGATTATTACCATTATCATCCCTATTATGATTATTACCATTATCAATGTTATTATCATTACTATTGTTGTTATTATTATTCTATTATTTTCATTGTTATTGCTATTATCATTATTATTACTATTATTATCATTATTTTGATTACCATAACGTTTATCATTGTTATCATTATCATCATTGGTACTAGAATTTGTAATAGCCATTGTGAATTTTACATCATTATTGAATTTTATATATCATTATTGTTGTTATTATTTTTATTATCTTCATCATTATTATCTTTATTACTATTACCATTATCATTATAATTTTTATCATTATTATTATTACTATCACTATTAGTAATATCATTTTTGTTATCATTATTGTTATCACTATTACTATCATTATAATCATCATTCTTATCATCATTTTCATCATGATTTTAATTAAACTTATCCTCATTATACCATCATCATCTGTAGTACTAGTAGTAGTTGTAGCAATAGTAGTAAGCAGAAATAGTAATAGTAATAGTAGTTGCAGTAGTAGCAACAGTAGTAGTAGTAGTAGTAGCAGTTATCGTAGTTCAACATGAGTCAGATGATAATTATTCCCTCGATTAGGATCATAGGTCGATTCAGCAACCTTTTGTTATCTTCACTGAATCAAATTTGGTTAAGTTAAAAATTGTTGGTGTTGTTGGTCGTATTGTTATTATTATTTTTAGTAGTAGTATCATTACCATCATCAGTGTTATTATCATTATCATAATATAGCTATGTATATCATTACTATTTTAATCATCATTATCATAATTGTTATCATTATCTTATCATCATTATTATCATAATTGTTATCATTATCTTATCCTCATTATTATCATTATCTTATCAGTATCATTATTATCGTATTTTCTTATTATCATTATCATTATATTATCATATTATTTTATTATTATTATTATTATTATTATATATTATTATTACTCATTATATCATTATCATTATTATTATATTATTATTTATATTATTTTATCATGTTAATATATCATCATTATTCATTATTATATTATTATTATTTATTATTATTATTATTATTATTATTATTATTATTATTATTATTATTATTATTATTTATATATCATCATTATCATCATTATTATTTTATTATTATTATTATTATCATTTATCATTATTATTATCATTTATTATTATATAGTTATCATTAGTAGTAGTAGTAGTAGTAGCAGTAGTAGTAGTAGTATTGTTATTATTATTATCATTATTACGAACATTTTTATCGTTATCGTTATTATCAGCATCACCGTCATTATCCTTTTAAGTTTTACTACTATATCATTATCATCTTTATCATATTTACCATCACCATCATTATTATTATTGTTTACATTATCATTATTATTGGCATTGTTATCATTATTGTCATTATTATGATAATTCTTATTGTTCTCATTATCATAATTATCATTACTATTATTATCATTAT